TTCTCTTCAAAATACTGACATGAGTAGCTTACCCTTATATAGCACTTAGGCAGTTAATGTCTTCTTTTGTTTTCTAAGAGTTCAATAGGCATGGCAAGGTCAAAAGCTCTCTACTACAAAAGAGCCAGTAGGCTTTTTCAGCAAGGTAACCTCAAGAAATCCTCAAAACAACCTATGGGGTGTTAACAATCTCCCTTTTTAGATGAGGAGACCAAAGATTAATGAGTTTCAACAAACAGCTGAAGTTACACAATAGCAAATGGCAAAACTTGGATTCCGTATTTAAGTTTTTTAACTTTTAAGTCCAGGCTCAGACAGATATTTCCCAACTACTTATTATATAATTACATAACACATTGAATTAGACACAGAACTTTGCTTCATAATTTTAACCTTAAAATGAAACCAGATTTTAAATTAGGATGAATGGTAGCTCTTGAAAAGAGGTGATGGGATGACTATTTTCTCTTTTGTCTATTATCTTTTTTATATAAATTTTAGCCAGAGATTTTTGAGCATCACAAACCAAGTAAGAGTTTGGGTACAAAATGCTGATTGAAATGTGTTCTTTTTTTCTGGTTTCACCGTCTTTATAATTTTGCTTTCTTCCATGTGAAGAGACAGATATTCAGGGGATATTTCTCATGGTAGTTATTAAAAAATCCCAGTTACTGTTTCATCACTCTGTGTGAATGGACCTATTGTCCTGCTCACCAGAAGGGCTACCATTGTAATGATCCAGCACTGTGTATTTTCACAGACATCCTCAAATCAAAATGGTAATTACAACTAGAAGAGAAGTCAAGTTCACATCAGAAATCATTTGTGATAGAATTTCAGAATTTTGAATTCGTTTAAAATTACGTAACTTGTGTAAAAATTATTTTAACCTGTGTTGAGTTTTCCTCTTCGTGTACACTATTTAAACCTCTGTTAAAATAGCCTTTTTTGGGCCTCTCACCAACTGCAGGACTGACTCTAAATCAGGAGGTGGGAAAGAGGGGAGGGAAACAAGGGTGCTCGTCAAAGACATCCTCTAGCACTGGGAACCAGGAGGGTAATAACCGTGTGTCTGAGACAGTTCATCACAAAGGTTCCATGATGGGAGCAGCGCTGCAATTCTTTACAGCTGACAGAATACAGCTCAGGAAATCTGCCCCAATCCAACCTTCCATGTACAACAGCTGTCCTCGTGTCTTGAGTTTGAAAAAAAATGAACATTCCTTGACCACACAGTCCAGTGGTTTGAATCTACCAGTTTTGTTGTTCTTTTATTTTGTCCTGAAAGAGGCCTTGTCAAATCAAAATGAAAAGAATGTTTTGAAGCGTGAGAAAATTCAAATTTCCTATTTAAAGCCTGGAGTTCATTAGTAGCAGTAGACTCACTTATTTCAAGGGTCACTGGGTTACCTAGAAGAGCCTGTCTCTCTGCTACCCAAATCCCAAACCATTCACCTGAAAACAGTTTAGAAACACTCTTAAGTCTATTAGCTTTCTATGGGACCTAATTCATCTTTGCTGTGCTTTGTCTTGTGATCCTGTCAAGTCGAGGGCCCTGCTTTGATTATGTGCTATTCCTTTTTCTCTTGATCACTTTTCAGTTAAGTAATTGTCTCGGTTTAATTAGTTGTAATGATTAAAACTTTGTTTATATTACACTGAAATTCTATTTTATCAATGACACTTACGTTAACTATTTTACTATTTACTGCCCAATACAGAAATTTTACCTGGAAGAAATAATCTTTTTAACGGACTTTTTTTAATTGAACTATATTTATTATACAAGCATTAAGGCTAAAATATAAATTTTGGGAAATAAGAGAAATAGCCTGTTCTTGACATTACAGACTTAGACTGGAAACAAAGAGATTTTATAACATTGTAATACTGGGAGGTAGAATGTAATGAGTATGGGTTTCAGACTCTAACAAACCTGGGTTTCGATTCTGCATCAGGACTTACCAGGACATTTCTGAACTTAAATGGTCTCATTTGTAAAATGAAAATATTAGTATCAACCCCATGCAGATGGCTTGAAGATTATAGAAGAAGGGTATAAGGTACAATATTGAATCTGTTAGTTATTGTTTCCTTTAGCTTTGCCACTAAGCAGCTACGCTATCTTGAGATCGAGCGACTTCATTTCTTTGTGTTTCAGGTTCCTCCAATAAATAAGGACTAGATCATTTCTATTTTTTCTGTTAAAACTCGGTTAATAAGTAAACCCTCTCTATTGGTTCTCTGCAATTCCACAATAAGCAGAGTTTTCTCATGTTAAAATTTTCCAGGTGAGTAGAGGTGGCCTTAGTTGGAATTTGGACAGTAGTGTGAGGACAAGGTGACAAAAACAAAATGTCCAGCAAGAAGTGTTCCCATACAGAACGCTGGGACAAGAACCAGAGTAAAATCAATCCCATTTAGAAGATAAAACCACAGGTGAGTGGTTAAATAAAATGTTTAGAGAACTTGTATTATGATTCCCTAGCAGATGTAATGACTACTTTCTATTAGTAGAAATACTTTCTATTTTTTCCATAGAAAAAAAATCACTGGAAAAGTTTAATCAGCCTGCCTAATCTCAGCTTATTCAACTTGTAGCAATGAGCATCCCTGCCACCTACCTAGTTGTGTGAGTTCCCATGAGAAAAAAAGGCAACGAAATACATTAAATATGATCATCTTTATACTTGTCAAGTATTTCTGTTTACAACACATTGACAGTATCTGTTTATCTGCCTTGTGGGGAAATATTTTTTTTTAAATGACTCCTAAGCTTTATCTCTCACCAATAGTGGTAGGTTTTATTTTTAATTTGTTTTTACTTTGATACAGATTTACTATTTTTCTAAATATATTTTGCAAAAACAACTTTATTTAAAGACATAAACCATGTTTAATAATTCAAGCTATAAAGACAGCAACACAGAATGTGAAACCTGGGAACACATACTTTCTTCTTTACAAATGCAGCAGGGGAGACAGGGACATCTTTTCCCCCTGTTTGTGGTCAAGTGGTCGAGACATATGAGCAAAAGAGTATCAAAACTAAGTGCTTATCCAGATCTTCTCTTATCTGTGCTTGGAGTAAAATGGGACAGCTTTCTCAAGTCAGTCTGTAGTCTAAATTTGGAATAAATAAACTTTATATGAAAATCAGCATTGTAGATGGGAGTGGCATATGGTTAACCAGGCTGGAATGAACAGTTTTTCTATGATAGAACAGCTCATCCTGAAACACCTTATGATAAGAAACAATAACAAAGCATTAATGGCAATGCTAATATCTACCTTCCTTTGAGCTTTTAATAATAGTCTCCATGACAGAGGACTTTTCATACATTATGCCTTGCCTGGCAGTACGTTTCTTATATTACATTGAGAAAATAGGTGCATAAATATACTCTAGATAATTTGAAATTTCATGTAATAGCTTGAGCCCATTTATAATGCTCAATTAGCTCTATTAAAATTCCATACTCTCTAAACAATCAACCATTCTTTAGACAACTAAAGGTATCAAAGCATGACTGACTTGAGAAAGCTGTCCCATTTTACTCCAAGCACAGAGTATAACATTTTACAAAATTCCTCATTCCAACTTGAGATCCTCACCACATCACAAGACTTCTTCCAGGGCAATTTTTACCAATTACCCCCAAGGCAGCCTTAAGAATCTTTACCACTGCTCCTGCATGTCATTCTATTCCCTTCCCAACTTCATTCTTCCAACACTACAAAGCCCTATTCCAGGCAAGAAAGCACAAAACAAACACATTGGTTATATTCTCTAATTCTAGTGTGGTAACCATCAGGGTCAGTCCTAAGGAAGGAAGACAATAAAGTATACAATTTCCTTCTAATGCAGATACTTTATACATTTATTTCTACTTATACTTTTATTTATTATTCTTATATGAATTTGGAAACAGGGACAAGTAGGAAATAAAAATAATAACAGGTAATTAAAGCTACAGTGAAACTCTCAAACTCTTCTTAAACCTACCCTCTCAAAGTAGGATATACAATTAATTTAAACTCTTAGTGTTCATCCTGGGAAGAGGATTAACCTAGTATGCTGAGACAACAATGGGGAAATGAAATAATCTTAAACTTTAAGTACTTATTTTCTTTAGGGTTCTCAGAAGAACTTGGGATTCTGAGAGTCTGGCTAAAGAATAACAAGGAAGGAGCCCATTACCTTATGTGACTAGGTTTTTTAATACGTATGGCTAGAGAACACCAGAGGCACATTCAGAAGAAAGAGCCAGACAGTTTACTAACAAGTGACAAAAAGAAAACCAAACAACAATTAGAGATGGAGGAAGTGGTAGTGTTACCCTGGCCAAGAAATGTAGCAACCATCATTCCCTGAGGCATATCTAAATCAAGCAGAAGGTGGCAGAAGTTCAACAAAGTACTGAGGATGAAGAATTCAAAAGGAATCTCTAGCCAAAGACAATGAGAGGAGCTGGCCATGAGATGTCTCCACTTGGTGGCTGATATCTGGAAACATTACTCAGGATGATGGGATGGTATGGCTTCCATCCTCACAGAAGGTAGTGAGACTTGAGCTAACTGAAGACATGAGCGACACCCACATGACTTTTGGGAACCACTGCTCCAGAGTGAATGCTACTTCAGCCTAATAGGAGGAAGTAGGAAGCAATCCCACTACTGGGGTAAAGTGTTAAAAACTTCAAAGTTACTTTGCTTTTGTCGCTTCTTTAGGTTTAAGGATCTCAGCATAAAAGCAGCTCTCTTTTCCATAAACAAGAACACAACCAAAGGGAACAACAATATGGAGAAAGCTATAAAACTCAACACAGGGAGAGCCTGTATTGGTATCAACTTGCTACAGGCCCTCATGAGGCTGCACTCTGTTTTTGCCCAGATCCCTCAGCAGGCCAGGTCTCAAAGACTTAGCATCACCTCCAGCCTCCACCAGCTCAGTGCCCTGTCTTCTGGAGGGCTTCCGCTTCCTAGACCTCGAGAAGGTCTGCCAGACACAGCTTAAGAAGCAACCAAAGCAGAGTGGTGGTGATGCCAAGGATGTCACTGCAGGAGAAGAGGACCCAGGCTCCGGGGACACTGGGCGCTCACAGGGCTGGATCGGACACTCCTGATGCATCAGGACACTCCTCCTGCTGACTCTGTAATTGGGCCTGCAAGCAGAAGAAAGAAGTTAAAGCCCTCAATGCCAACACACATACAGAGAGAGGGCATCACCCTCTAAGCCAGTTCATGCTCTATCTGGGCCCAATGATCCCAGTTTGTTCCTCAAGCTCTTTATCCCCACCTCCTCTCACTGCAGGAGAAGAGGTGTCATTATTTTTCCTAGGAAAATGTGGCAAGCCCAGAATTTTGACACCCCACGCCTCATCCTTACCTCACTGGGAAGGTCAGGATGGTCTTCCTGAGCACTGAGGATGGTCGGCTTTGCATCTACCACCTCATCTTCACTTTGTGGTGATACCAAAGGTGCTGGAAGTATCGGGGGGCAGTGGGTCTCCACTTTCTCCTTCCTCTTGTTCTTCCTCATTCTCCTTGTCCTTATGGCCTTCCTAAGATTTCTATGCTTTTTTGGAAGTGGATCTAACTTTCTCCTCTGGACTGGAGGCATGACAGGATCCTGTGAAATATCACCTATTTGACTCTCAGATGTCCCCTCCAATGGCTCTGATGATGATTCCAAATTTCTCTTCCGAGGGTCATTCTCCCATAGGTGGAAGGTCTCCTCAGTATCTTGAGTATCTGGTGATATGTTCAAGTCATCAGTAACATGTTTTGGGATGGAGATTGGAGATTCCCAACCTCTTTCATTGAGGGTTTTTTTTTTGACCCACTAGGCGGACCCCAGCCAACTTTGCATGAACAAAAAGCTCACAACAAAAGGACCAAGAGTCAAATGCAAAATGAAGTAGTTAGTACCCTGACCCTTTCCAATAATTTATCCTCAGCTATCACAGACACAATATTATACTGATCTCAGATTTCTCTCTGGACTTCTCTAAGGAATTCAATGGCTTTCAGAGATACTCCTCAGTTTGTTCTTGGCCTGGGAGATCACAGACTTCCTAAAAGGAGAGAGAAGATCATTGAAGTAATTGCTCCATTGATAGTGGAGTTCCTCCTACTCACAGAAAATGTAGGATTTAATAAGACTCTGCCAAACATAACATGAATTCCTCAACAGAAACAGTATTTAGCAACTTAACCAATTTCCAAAGCAATATTTTTAAAAGTAAGAAAATTCTCCATGTATATCAGAATCACCAGGGGGTGCTCTTTGAAAAAACAGATTTCTGGGATGTACCCCAGACCTACAGTCAGAACCTCTAAACTAAAGCTGGGTTGCAGGAATTTGTATTTTCTCCCAGGGAACCTACACTCTAAAATATGTACTCTAAAACCTGAAAACTACTGCTTTAGAAGGACACTAGATCCAATATTTTATGGGGCCATGGGGATGACTATTCTTAAAAACATGCCACTTTCCCCTATAGGTTTTCCCTTATCATCTCAGCCCATAATGATCTCTCTCCTCTGAACTCATTTAGTCATCCTCACTCATTTTGATGTTATCCTTTATTATCTTCTATTATAATTTAACTTCAAAACCTTGTAACTCTGTCTTCTAACCAGAGTATAAGCTTCTCAAGGGCAGAGACTCTTAGAGTTGTTAGTTCTCTACGGTGGCTTGCCAGTATTAGTGCTTCATAAATTGAAGAAGTGAATATAAATATGAATAGGTTTATATCCCAGTGTACAATGATTGATATGAGGCTTCTCTGTATGAAGAGTTATAGAGCAACAGAATGTTAAAAAGAACATAGGCCCTGGGGACAACCTAACTGAATTCCCCTAGGTTTACAGATGGGGAAGCTAAGGCTCAAGTATAATGGCCTGACTAAAGTTGGGGTTGACAAATTTTTCTGTAAAGGGCCAGATAGTAAATATTTTAGGCTCTGTGATATAGTCCTGCCACGAATATTCCTCTCTGCACTGCAGCACAAAAGAATTACATAAATAAATACTCATGGCTGTGTTCCAATAAAACTTTATTTACAAAAACAGGTGGTAGGTCAGATTTGGCAGCAGGCTATCCTGTGCCAACCCTGGCCTAAAGGCATACAACTAGTTAGCAGGTTAGCTAGGATTAGAAATCAAGTCACCTGATTCCCAGCAAGTGCTCTTTCCACAAAGGAGTAGACAACTGTAGAATGAGAAAGAGTTTTCTCAATTAAAAGAGGGGCTTTAAAGGAGGAAGAGATCAAAATACATCTGGGTGTGTTATACTTCTAAGATGGTTTTCTGATGACCATTAGTCATTTACACAAACAACTAGTAGCTGAATTCTGAAACTGGCCAATTTTCAAACAGACTGCGACTAGGTGGGGTAGACTGAATATTTTCTATCACACCTGCTTAGGAAAGCATACTATCTGGTCCCTTTTTTACTGAGCAGAAAACCCTGCAGACAGGTAATGGAAAATACTTTCCTCATTCATTTCTTGAAATCATCATGGCCTAGTGAGTACACAGTGCACAGCCCAGTGACCAAAAGTTTCAAGTAATTACCAGAGGAACATGGGGGCAGAGATAGGATAGGTTATCTAAGAAGCTAAAACCTCACTTCCTAACCCAAGATGCTCTTTAATAATGAAAATGACCCTACTATTAAAGATTAAGTACCCGAAGTCTTGAGGTTATTTTATATTCTGGGCTTTCTGAGAACTCTGAGGTCCATCCAGAACTCTCTGTTCTATTTTCATTTCCACCCCTAGTGTGTTCCTCATATCATTACTCTGCCTTCACCAAGTAGATGATTAACAAATATCTGCTGACTGACAGACTAATAGATGGATGAGTAAATAAATGAATGAATGAACCAAATGCTATTAGAAAGTTCCCTGATTTTGCAGCTATAAAAATAAACCAGAGTTGGTACATTGTGCAAGAGGAAGTCTAATATTTTTTTAAGTTACCCCTCAGTGAAGCTAATAGGGCCGTCACATAGTGTAATGTCAATAAAAGTTTCATGAATGAATTCAAGCATTTGATGTAAGCTACTTAAATTACATGTCAAGTACAAAGTTATCCTGCTCGTCTCTCACACACACACACACACACACACACACACACACACACACACACACACACAATGGTATCTAAATACAGAATTTACTTACTAATACGTTAACATGGAATTCTTTGTAATTAGCTTCAGTTCTGCGCCATTAGGAGAGTTTGGTAAAATCTTTGAGAGAAGAACACCATGGGATAAACGAGAGAATGCAGGCTCAGGTTCAATCTGCAGCCTCCAGCAGAGACAACTGTGTAGGCAGCAACTACAGAAGCAGCCCTTGATGCCCCCAAAGAGGTGGGCGAGGACTCTAAAAGAGAAGTCAGCTGGACAAATTCAAGCCTCTAAAAGTCAACCTGGCTTCTTCACCGCCTTGGCAATGGACCTGGGCCAGGTCCTCATCATGCCTCACTGTATTTTGACAAGGCTCTATTCCCTCCACCTCACTCTCCACAAAGGAGCTAGAATGATCTTTCGAAAACAAATCTGACCTGTCACCCTCCTATCTAAAGCTCTGCTCCCTAGGCCCCCCAACAAGATACTGGTCCTTTGTGATCTGACTTCATGTCTCCTGTCCTACCTCAAGTCTACCACTCACCCTCAGAGAGCATATGCTGTTGGGGAAGACAGACCACTTGCCATTTCCTGAAGACACCGTGCTTTCTTAAACACTCTTCCTTTTGCCTACAATGCGTTTTTCCTCCTCAGTACCTGACCTAGCTTTAAGTATTACCTCTTCTTAGAAGGCTTAGCTGACTTCCTTAAGCAGAAAACAAACAAAGAAACAAAAACAGATTCAATTTATGTACCATTCTGTACCTACAAAAATTATCCCATTGAATTTAAGCCGTTTAGAGATCTACGGCCTTCACTAGACTTGGTGTTCCCTGAAGGCAGGAACTCTTGCTTCTCACTTGATTCCTAGTGTCTCTGTGGTGCCTGGCACCTGCAAGGTGGTCAGGATTTATGGACTTCAAAATGCAGTTGTTTAGTCTGCCTCCAGGGCCCGAGCTCTAGAGGCCAATTCACCCCTCTCTCTCTGAATGAACAAACACGCTGAAGTCTGGAGGACAAAACTGAGAAGCTATGGCCAGGACTCAAGAGCCATACATCCAGCTACCAATTCAAAGCCTGTGTCGTGAGTAGCAGGTTTCACTTGGGAAAGAACGAGCTGCGCAGGCAGTAGTTAGCACTACCCAGCACAATTCTATTCTAGGAGCCTCCTTCCACCCACATCCTCATGAGAATTACAAGGAAAGCTAACAAAAGAGGTCCCAATCAGATCCCTGGCTCCCTGCAGGCATACTTTCCTCCAGCCTGGACCACACTTCTCTGTCTTGCTGGTCGATTCTCAGCACCCCTTACCCATCCCTACTTCCCCCACCCTGCTCCATGTGGGAGCCTCCCCAAACTCTCAGGGATGCCTGCATTGCAAGTTTTCACCCACAATCGGCATTTTCATTCCCACAGGACATATACCTAACTCCAGGCCTTGGTTCTTTCTTTGAGCGCCCCTACCTGGGAAACCTGTCCCTGGGGCTAGATGTGCTCATATGCAGGGATGTTGTTCAACCCACAAAAGTCATTTGCCTGACCAGAGGTGAAAGAGGTTTATACCACATCAATCTCACTGACTCTGGAGCCCATGATTCCCCTAGATTTCACACATCAGAAAGTATTGGGTATATGATACAAGTGAATTCACATGTTACACTCTGAGTCCATTTGTCTTCAGAAACCTGTTGCACTTCAGCTTTCTTTGTGGTAGATTCCCCCTCACCCTTTTCACATATGACTTGAAGCAAAGCTGAGAGTATTAAAACGTTGGATGAATCCGCTGCCTAAGCAGACTCAAAGCCAACTGAGAGGCCCTAAGACAACAAACTCTTGGCCACTGAACTTCTGGCTCGTCCTGCAGAAGAGACGAGAGAAAAATTTCACTAATCATCATTGACAGCGAAGTGACTATCCCTCTTTAAAAATGGGGAAGAAATGATTGGCACAAACTCACTTTGCTTTTCAGTGACTCTCTGGAGAATTAAACAACTGAAGCATCAGACAACAATTTTTTTGATGACCTTTCATATTAAATGAAAAGCTGAAGAGCTAGTCTCAAAAGGAAAGAAAATGAATAATCTGTGAGGGCAAGTACTCATTTCTGAGTATACAGTAACAAAAAGACAAAAATATGATCATAAACATTGTCAAATGTTGTGTGACAAATTAAGTATATTTTCATTTTCAGGGTAACATTTATTGAGAGCCTACTATGAATCAGACATTGGGAAAGTTGCTCTTTGATTAAAAAAAATGCATTCACTTGATCAATGTAATTTAAATCCGTTGTTTTCTAATATTAGCAGGCATGAGAATTACATGGAGGGCCTTTAAAACACAGATTGCTGGGGCCCAGCCCTTGTGTTTCTGCTTCAGTAGGTCTGGATGAGCACATTAGAATATACATTTCGAACAAGTTCCTGGGCAGTGCTGCTGGTCTGGAGACTGCACTTAGAGAACCACTGAATTAGGTCATCTCAAATTGAAAGAGGAGACACATAGACTCAGAACAGATTAAGGGGGAGGAGCATTCCTAACCATGTATGACCAGATGAAGATGTACAGGCTTTGAAATGATTATCTGCAGGGCTGACTCTTCCAGCCATGCTGCCATCCCACCCA